AAAGACTTTGGCCCAAAAAATTACTGAAAAATCCTAACTGCTGCAAAAAATCTCCATGACCGCCTATAGAATGAGGTCCGGTCTCTGGCTGTGGACTCGCGTTGCGGTGAGGTCGCTGAGAGTCAGCCCATTTCAAGATCTTTGACTGCGTGTGGTTACTTCCGCACTGTTCAGTCAGAGTGCGCTACTGCTTGCTCTGTTGCTGTTGCTTCTTTCGTTTCTCCTTAAAGCCACCAACGACTTGACTTTTAGGTGACAATTTATCCAACTTCAACTGTAGAATCAGGCATTGTAGTGTTAATTGTGATAACCATTGTGTGTGATTTTACTTATATCTTTTGGATTGTTTTATTGAGTTCTTATTATTGAAACTACCCACCGTTTCTCTTGAAAACCTGCTAACTTCTTTCTTTCCAAATCAATCAGGGACTTGCACACTTGCCTTCTTGTGCTAATGGAGTTGATTGGCCACCATTTGTGAAGCATCTTAGATATCCAATACTAAAGCAGGTCTCTTGCAAAACGATACGCTAGGATATGATACTAGAAAGACTTGCAAGGATTCAAAATTGCATAACGGCTACCCATAATAGATAGAAACGTAAAATAAGGAAAAATGGTGATGCTCAAAATAATAAGAGAGGGGAAATCTTGGTGCTCAAAATTAAAATAAAGTCCCCTATTAATCCTGTTTTAGAGTAAACTCTGCAACAAAAGTTGAGTAGAAATATGAGCAATTCAAACATGTGTAGGTGTCGCATCTACAGGCACAGTAAGAGTCGATGACTCTGTTCTTCTCTTGCTTCTCCCTCTCTCGCTCTTGGTATTGTCAGCAAATCTCAAGCTAGCTTGATGAATTCCTCTCTCTTTCTCGCTCGAACTCCATTCTGACCCATAGTAAGCTTCTTCGGTCACGTTCGCTCTAGGTCCACAGAACATTCCACCCCACTGCGGGAAGTAGATGAGGGTGACGAGCAGGGTGCAGGAGATGATCATGATGCCCATAAGAGTGATACCAGTCTCCTTCGAGTATTTTGATCCTTTAAAGAATATAAGCTGAGTTATCACTGCTCCTATACTTCCACCTCCTCCAGTCATTCCTGATATCAATCCTAATGCCCTGAACAACAATATATTCAATGTTGATTAGGATAATAACTTTAAAATTATATTTATCCGTAGTGATGAAAGATTAAAAAAATACAAAATAGCAAATCTCACCAAATTAGTATGAACTGCTGAAAAGGCTTGCTTGGTAAATGGGTAAGGGGGTAAGGTTTACCCTATTAAATATTATTCTATCTCTATTCATGTTTGTTATCCTTCTAATATTTCACCCAGGATAAAGTTTAACCTTATACGAGGGTAAACTTCTAACCGAGTAGGGGCAGGAGAAAATTGGTGAAAAGTAGAAATGAGGGTAAACTTCTAACTAAGTAGGGGCAGGAGAAAATGGGTGAAAAAGTAGAAATGGGTGAAAAGTTGAGCCTTGGTTCATTTAAGTATGTGGAATTATAAAAACCCCCTAAAAATTCTAAAACTACAACAAGTCTTTTAAAACCTGAAATTTTGACCAGATCCCTTTTTGAGAAAAATTGTAAACAACCCCCAAACAATTATAAAATTATAAAGACACCCTTAATAGTGTAAATCTCAGTAAAAATCATAACAATTTCTCAAAATTTCAAAACTTAAAAAAATACTAAAAATTTCAAAACATATAGGCTGCCCCTCCCAAACTTTTCCTAAAAGTTTTAAAAATGGTAGAAAAGACCCTTAAAATTTTGAAATTTACAAAAAACCATTAAAATATAAAAATGTAGAAGCAGTATACTAAAATTCTAAGAACTCCTAGAAAATAGAATTTACAGAAAACATCCCTAAAAGTTTTGTAAATTATAAAAACCACCTTCAAATTTCAAGTTTTACAAAAGACACCCTAAGAATTTCAATCCTAAAAATAGTACACTAAAAATATGGTAACTATAAATAGACCCCTAAAATTTTTGTAATTTGCAAAACACCATGAAAGTTTTAAAAATTATAAAAAACATCCTCAGACTTCAAAATTTACAAAAAATGTATTAGAAAATTTAAACCTATAAATAGTGTACTAAAAATATAGGACTACAAACAGCCCCCTAAAAATTTAAACTTTGCAAAAAACACCTTAGAAGTTTAAAAAATCATAATAAAGACACTCAAAAATTAAAAAATTTACAAAAAACCCTAAAATTTTCTAATATACAAAAAGTAAACTAAAAATTTTATAAATTTGAAATTTGAAAAAAATTCCCTAAAATTTAGAAAATTACAAAAAATACCCTAAATTTTGAAATTTACAAAACATACTGGTTTGTTGGTTTGGATCTTTTAGGAGTGTTTTCTATAAATTTTGAATCTATGAGGTTATTTTTCATAATTCTTGAAACTTCCTGTGTGTTTTCTTTAAATTCCAAAACTTAGAAGGGGATGTTTGTAATCCAATATTATCAATGGCCTTTTTTCTAGATTTGAAACTTTTGGAGTGTTTTTTTTCATAATTTTTAAATTTTGAGAGTTTTTTTGTAATATTTAAAACTTCCTAGGTTGTTTTCTTTAAATTTTGAATTGTGTATGAAACTTTTATAATTATCAAATTTTAAGGAGGTTGTTCTACACTTTAGTACTTTTAGGGGGCTTTTTGTAATTTATGCATTTTGAGTTGAGAATGGTAGAGATCCTTTTCCGTTAAATTTTAACTCTTATGACAATGTTATACCAAACACAGAAATATTTCTCCAACTAATTGTTCTAGGGTATTAATTAATCTATTAAAGTTTAACCCCGATTGCTTTCACCTAATACCAAATGAGCCCTTAGAGTTTTGCAGATAAACTATTCCAGGCTATTTTGCTAGCTACACTATAACAAAAGTTACATGTGTCCACATTTATTTTATGACAGATATAAAGGTGTCATTTTATTTGTAAAGGATTAAACAACAGTGACACAAATAAAAGGGTGACAAATCATGACACATATTTGTATCATTAGATATAAAATAAAATAAATTTGAAAAAGACTAATAGTCCCACATTGGTTGTGTGAAGATCTATTGAATAAAAAGACTAAGATTTTAAGTATAAACATATATGATATGTATAAGCCAAACAATTCTATGGTTAAGTGTACTTTGATATAGTATACCATACTTATGGTATTTATCCCGCTTTATTTGTACGACATAAAAATATATTGCATAGAGACAAAAAAAACTGTATCATAATTTAAACTTTTATTGAAGTGCTAACTATTTATTGAAGTGCTAACTAGAGAAAACACTTTGCAAACATTCTTATTCAAATTGTTGCT